ATTAAACGAATTAAAGTTTTCTTCTTTGCCATATAATAAACATCTTATTAACCGAACTAAGTCGGTCTGTGTGGGAGAATCTTGACCTCGGTCGTGTGTGCAGACCGAACGCAGTGAGGTCTGTACTCACGACCTCGGTCAAGATTCTCCCATACAGACCTCCTGCTCGGTTAAGAGCTAATTATTGCTGTTACATCTTGAATAAGAGAGTTACTAACTTGTGTTGTGAATACAACTTGAATGAATATTTCTCCAATTTCTTGTTGTAAGCCAGACCCGCAATCATGTAATAAAATATGTGGAAATTCCTCTCTCCACTGTTGAGGCACAAACGTTAATACAGAAGTCATCAGTAACTTGCAAGATCAACTTGTAATTTCTACTTACAGTATTAGTACAGTGTCATTTGGACAGATGCGATTAAAGCTACAGTCGAACCTTTCCACAATGGCCACTTTGGGGCAAGCGGCCATTGCCACTTTGAGGCAAGTGGCCGTTGTAGAGAGATGAACCAAATCTGGTGCTGTGATTGGCTACCCAAGCGGGCAAGATGGCACTATCTTGCCTGCTCAGGATTACCTGCTGTGTCCCGCAAGAAATTAGTGTTCTTTTTCCATATAATAAATGCTTTATTGACCAAGCTTGTTCAGTCAAGATGGCTGGATGTTGGCTTCGTTCTTTTTTGCGTGTTCATGGACGCATAGAAAAGTACTTGACCAATATTCAACCATCTTGAAAGAAAAAACTTGGTCAATAACTCATATATACTAGACTAAATAACAATTAAAGGAATGTCATGTTCATTGTTGACTCACCTTGACTGTGATACAACTCTGGATTTCTCTAATAAATACTCCGACAGCACACCTTAAAAAGTTAATAATAAATTGTTATTTTCACTGACCAATTACTAATGGTTCTGAGACTAGTGATTGACCAGCTGACTGACTTAGACCAACCAATTGAAAGAAAGATGGATGAACAAAGAGACAGACAAACACACTAACTGAGTGACTAATTGACTGACTGACTTACTTACCGACTGACTGACTGACTGACTAACTGACTGACTTACTGACTTGCCAACTAATTCAGACAGACTGACTGACTGACTGACTGACTGACTGACTGACCCATTAATAATTGATCAACAAACAGATTGATAGAATGATTGACATATACCATTTCACTGTTGAAATGTAACAACTTACAAAGATACAAAAAGTCTTCCAAAGCATACATAATGCTATGCTTACCTCCTGTGAGGGCTCCATTAGATGTGAAATGAAGTTCTAAGTATTTTCCAAATCTGCTGGAGTTGTCATTTATGACTGTCTGTGCATTTCCAAGGGCTTCCATAAGAGGATTAACCTGCCAATCAAATACATACATGTAGAGCAAAACAAACAAGAAAAGCCCTCAGTGGCTTATGTCTATGAGTGGTATGTTAATTTCCCCTACAAATGTCCTGAGCACACAGCATTTGCAAGAGAGCTTGTATTTAGTTACATCAATTTGTAAAACTATAGGCTAAAAATAATACTTGGCTTTTAAGTTTACTTCAGTAGATTATGTTACAAAATTGTAACATTAAAAAGAGAGATCTAGAGAGCTTGTTAGTTAATGAGATGTATCATGTGTCATCTTTGTAACACTCACCTGAAGAATCTTTTCCTCTAATGTTCTGTTTCCAGCCTGGGTAAAAAACAAAAATTCATTCCTTCCTTGCTTAATCACACTGTCTAATAGATGCTTTCATATGAACAAGGAGCACAGATTACATGTCACAGGGGTTTCATTAAGAGGTGGGCACTGAGCAAATTGAACAGTTGTTAGTATGATTTTGCCCGTCCAGTTTGACCATCTAGAATAATGTTTTTCCTATGTCAAAGTTCAGTTCAGAAAGTTTTGCCAGACTGTGAAAACCAGTTGTCCTCCTGTTGAAAAAGTTAATGAAACTCCTGATGTCACCATGGTAACCATACACACCTTTCCAAGTTCAGCCAAGTGTCGTACTAAATAGTCAGCTGACACTGTTTTCCCAGATCCACTCTCCCCACTAATCAAGCAGCACTGAAAAGAAAGGAAACTTATTTATTAAAGATATAAATAATAAACCCAAGTCGAAGAGTGGCAGAGGTGTTCTTTCTTTTTTCTTCTACTGAAGTGAAAAAGTTGTCACAGTACTCAAAGCAAGTGAGATAAGAAAACCTTCTAGCTCAGCAGAGATGCCATTGGCAATATGATCGATATAACAGGCATTTTGTCAGCTGTGTTGCTGGACAGTTTGCAACAGCCTGCCTATTACAAGTGAAGTGTCTAGCTTGTCCAAGAAGGAAAGGCAAATAAGGTAAAGCGAAGTCTGCATACATTAAAAAGCCAAGTGGGCCATCAGACTGGAGCTTATCCCGGTTTCTGTCACATGAAGTGACTAGGAATAATACTCCCTCATGGATGGGATGCAAGTCTATTGCAATGCATGCATGGTGCAGAGAGGCACTGTGAGAGTTAAGTGTCTCAGATGCCCAAGAATACAACACAATGTCCTTGGCCAGGGCTAGAAGCCGGATGGCTCGATCCAGGGTCAACCACGAGGCCACCGAGCCTCCATAAGAAGGAAAGGCATAAGGTTCAATCCCTCAGTTTCTCTGAATCCCTCTCGGCCTGTCTATGCTTCACGCACACCGCTGAGTAGGTACAACATGCTGTATTACATGGAGTAGCATTTCGGGCATTTCCTACCTGTGGTTTCTTGTTATGTATCATTGCCTGATGCGTCATGTCAGCTACCATGAAAATGTGAGGGGGTAGAGTACTCTTGCGAGAGTTTTTGTACAATTTTGAATGCTGCAAAGCAAATAGAGGCATTTCTGTTCAGTACTGTAGATAGCTGCAAGTACTTTGTAATCTAACAACACCTAGGGTAAATTTAATTATGGAAAACTGCCATTTGATGAGTGAATACTGCAATAAGCAGTACAAGACTATTTCTACATCCCCCCTGGATGGGATGCTAGTTGTCTGTAAGGTTAACCCCACATGCCTGGTCAGATTTAGTTGAAACGCATGCAAATGTTTCAAATTTTGATCATAGCAACTAGTAAAAAAAGTGTGAAAACCCCTTTCCACATTTCAATGTTAGAAAATGGCAAAATACAATCACATGTCTGTTCAAAGTGTTTTGTCAACATTGCTCAGTGGTGGGGTGGGGCAAAATGCATGAAAGCTGTAGAGCTTCAAGAATTATGACAAGGCTTGCAGCATTAAATTTGCTCTTACAATGTACGTAGTTGTTGTACACCTGGGTAGAGACAGGCACTGTGAGGGTAAAGTGTCCTGAGCAGCCATTAACACATTCAAATAATCCAGTGCCCAGTGTGTTAACCATTAGGCAACTACATCTACTGTTATTGCCTTATTGACTAGTCAATAAGGATTTTTTTGTGTGTGTGGAGACAAAAAAAGATCTGCTAACTCACTTCAGGTCCATACAAGTTCAGAGTCCGCAGAGGGTTAATGGCTATTAGAATATCACCAACGTAAGTGTAGATTTGATTGTTCAGATATCTTTCCAAGAGATGACTGAGGATAATGTCCTGTTCACAGAAATGAAAAAGAAAAAGAAAACAGTCAATTAACTAAGGCATTCTAATGACTTAAGTCACAGATAGCAAGTTCCAGAAATGATGGCAACATTAGCTCTCAGAGCTAGCTGGTGCTGTTCTCGGTAGTTCCGAGTTCAACTCCTTGGACACGCTTGTAAAAAGCCAACTGGTCTGCCTCATGCCAGTTAGGACTTTTAACCATGTTATGTTCTTTGACATTATGTATTTCAATGTGCTACCACCGGCCCCTGAAAAGCCCCCTTGGAGAGTGGTCTTGGAACCACAAAATAGAAGCTCAAAACTTTAACTGGAACTCAGTGTTTCCAGTGCAGTGAAGGGGTGGCAAATGGTCCTTCGAAAACCATCAGTCTTTACCTTGAATTTCAGTGGTATCACAGTCTTGTTTTCTTTAGCAGCTATGTGTGTCTCGCGGTCTGATTTTATTCCAGGGTAAGAAAGTCTCAAAATAGCAATTTGTTTGTTTGTTTTTTTATAAATGAGGTTTGAATGTCTAACAACCTGAAAGTCTCGAGCTCACATTTAAAACACTGAATTTTTGGTCTCGCAATTGAAGAAGTCACAATGTCTCAGGCTCGCCAAGAAAAACGCTAGTCTCACCTTCTCGCAAATTCTCACATTTACCAGCAATCACCACCCCTAAGTGAAATAGACAGACCAATGCCTAAACCTACCTCTGTCAGACTTCCTAGCTCTGCTAAGTTGTCAACCCTCAGCATCAGGCTGTTACGCTGTGGATCCTTCATTTGTGCTGCTAAAGGACTAAATAACAATAAAACTTGTAAACTAATGACTAATGATGTTAAATTTGTTCCTCTGAAAACAAACAGCGATTTACAAGTACTAGATAGCAATTCCCAAAAGTATATATGAGCATGACAAACAAACATAATCATTCTAGTTTGAATTTTTTTTTTTTAAAGGGGCACACAGTCAACCACCAAGTCTGAAATAAGAAATAGTAATCATGGCAACATGTAAAGAACAGGTCAAAGAGAGCCAGGATATGGAAAATCAAAAAATGAAAAAAGCATATTAAAAGGCCAAGGGTCTTGAGAACTGTGCATTATAACCGCCCACATTAATTTCCGATGACTTCTTCTCCCACTAACCCTCCTCCATTCCTCCACTCCCAGCTCCCCACCCTCTGAACTGACAATGAAATTTAGCCAGATTTCCATTACTGATTGAAGAACATAAAGTTTAGAGCATATCTGTCAATTAATTTCTTTCAGAAAAGACTGAACATTATACTCAGAGTAACTGAAGTCCTGAAAAATAAATACTACACTATTTAAATCAATTTTATCCAAACTAAAAGTTAGTATTAATAATCCTTTTTCTATTGTGCAAATATTTGGGAACTGGTTTATTCATTAAACTTGCAGTAATATTCATAAAATAAAGCTAACCACTAACTGCTATCAACAACATGTATCGTCATACATTTGCCCACAGGTTTGAGTATAACATACTGTGTTTAAACATGTTGTCAATATTATAGTCATTTTTCATGATTAATTAATGAGGTAAGGTTTCTAAACTGCAATAATACTATGATCATATAATTACATGTTACACAAATTCAAACCTTGACACGTGCTCTTGCTCCTTCTCATTGCTGGCCTCGTCCATGATGCCATCCCTTCCCTGGTACTGATTATCCATCAGATTCATCAACTTTCTCCGCAGCTGGAACATTTTGTACAACGTTGATTTAGAAAACAAATGCCCTATTCTCAATACCACTGTTTGAAAGTTCTTGTATGCCCAAACACAATTATACTTAATTAAGCATTTTCACACTAAAACCTAAAATTAAAGTTTTGATATGTGTAGCAATACAGTATATGTACTACAAGGTACACGTAGACAGAACATGCACAGTCACAGAACTGAACCATTTGACATTCCCACTTTTCCATTAAAAGGGTTACAAACTAAGTTGTCCAGAAAATCACATTTACGCAAGAAAAAATTTACATTAAAAATTCATGAAAAATTAACATATCAGTAGGTGCAGTTATAACGACATAACAGACAACTAATATGCATCAATAGCATGCAATTCCTCAATTTATTTTCCATCTGTAAAATATAAGCTCTACTATTCCTTTGGCTGTTTCTTGTTCACAACATTTATAAAATTTACAGCTTGAACAAATAGCCACTAAAGAAATATTATCTAACTCTACATGCAAGGAGATTTGTCTAGTAAATGATTCAAAACAACTTTTTAAGGAATTGAAGATTTTATCAAAATTCCACAAGAATCCAACCCAAAACCAAAAAAGTGAACCTTGGCACCTAAGTAATGATGATGATAATGACAATTTATCAGGCATGTCATTAAGTTTTGAGTGACATGCTACCTTGCACCTTACTGTAACAACAATAGGCAAGTTTTGCCCTAAATGACAACCCTGGATGATAATGATCAGAGAGTGCACAGAGTTTGTGCTTGCACAAGAAGAATTGGCCAGACAACAAGTTGTTCATTATGAGGATCAGGCAGTAAAATAAATATGTTACATGTATTAGCTAGTTGGGAGGTCTGTACAGTGAAAAACTACAACAGAGGTCTTGAAAATGCTGCTCAAGGCCGCAGGCAGAGGGAAGGCAATAATAGCCGAATATTTCATCATAAAATAAAATATTAACTTACAGCCTCTCTCTTTTGTGGCACCCATTTGACAAACACATGACCAAGCATATCACTTGCATGGGCTCTCGATTCAAAATCTTTTATTAAACATCTGTAACAAAAAAATGCTAAGTTTGAGATTGAGGTATGTAAAGATGGGGTCTGCGTCAGGGCAAGTGGCCCATACTGCCAGCGATTATCCTGGTTTCTGTAACATGAAGCGACTAGGAGTATTTCTACATCCACCTGGATGGGATGCAAGTCTATCACAGGGTTACCCCCAGCATTAAATATGCTGGTACCTATTTATTAACCTGGGCAGAGAGAGGTACTGTGAGACTAAAGTGTCTTCTCCAAAAACCTAATGCATTGACCCCTGCAAAAGCTCAAACTTGAACCACTCAATCCAGAGTCCGCCATGCTAATTATTGGGCCACTACACCACCAAGATTGAAGTGCTAACTAGCAAAAGAGTTAAATGCTATTACTTTGATTGTCAGTACATCTCAACGATATCTGTGGCTCTACAAAATTCCATGCAACAATTCATAAAACAAGGAAGTTTGTCGAGTGACCAGATGTATTATTTTGTCACTTTAATTTAATCAAAAATAAATACTCACTTTTAGTTTATAGACATGTTAATACCTTTTTCTTTGTATTAGACGTAATTTAATTATTATGTTAACTTTAAAGTGGTACTATGATCAAATTTTTACCCCTTAATTTTTTAGGTGTATCGCATAGAATTCCATGGAAGAATAAAATTACCCATTACCGTTTTCAAATATCTGCATTAGTTCCGGAAATATTTAAGTTTGAAATATGTGTAAAATATGCAAATGAGATGACTGATGACATCATACACTCAACCCGATATTATATTAAGAATATAAATAGAGCTATCTCTCTCAGTCAATTTGCAGCAGAATCTATTGAAACTTGGTAGGTTAATAGTTCTACAGGAAACACAACTACGACTATAAAATATTCTGTTCCCATGGAAACTCACTCTTTTCCAGTCCCCACCCACTTGAGTTCAATATGTTAGTAATTTTCAGCTTAAAAAACATTAAACGAGGCCACGCACTCTAGCTAAAATATTTATATGCTTGCTGGATTGTGCATATGAGACACCATTAGCAAATGTCAAAATAGATCACCAAAGGTGGCCAGAAAAGTCTTTAATATTGGGGAGGTCTGGAACCCATTATGGTGCCATGGTAACAAAACTGTTACATTCATATTGTGGAACACATTTAGTAGTCTTACTGCAAAGAATCAAACATTTCTGATACAAATTGGCCGAGATATCTCTCTTCATCATATTTGATCAAAATTTGGTTGAGTGTATGACGTCATCATTTGACTAAATTGCATATTTCAAAAACTTGAATATCTCAGGAACAAAAAGAGACATTTGAAAATAGTAAACAGCATTTTTCTTCTCATATAGACTACTTGTTTCTGTTTTAAAATGGCTTAGATAGGAGAAATGCGATTTTCGTCATCGTACCACTTTAAGTTCCCAGCTAGAGTTGAAATATTTTGCTTTTTTACCTAATCACTATTGAAGGGGTGCATGGAAAAAGACCCTAAGTGACTTCTGATAGACTGCAAGATTCTCCTAGCAAATTGCTTTTCACTTCCTTGTACAGAAAAGGACAATTTGACATGAGATCAAGAGTCATTTAGGGCTTTTTTCTATGCACCCCTTCACTTGTTCAAAGTGACTGATTTATGCTCAAAGCATAAAATTCTCCTGAACATCTGACGATTATTGACAGAGTGTTTTATAAAAATTCAAGAAAACTTCTTACTTTGCGATAAAATCCCTGTACTCATGAGACCATCTCTCTGGATTTTTCATCGATGGTGACTTGCTCCTAAATATCAACAAAGACGAAAATGGTGGCAATGATGATGAAAAAATATTCCCACTGGTATGTTTACCAAGACTAGGAATGTTTCATTGGATAGTAACAGTAATGTGATCTTTTCATAACCATCCCTAATCTATACTTGATATCTCTAGTTATGAGGTGGTATCCTTATGTACACCATCTCAAAACTTCAAAATTTACAATTTTTTTTTCTGATTACCGTAAATCCTCTATTAAGGCCCCCCTCTCTAATAAGCCCCCCTTTTTCCAAGGAAGAAAGTTACTAAGCCCCCCTCCCCTCCCCTGCCCCCTTGTTCCATACAGTCAAGTTAATAAATGATAGACTGTATTTGTAATGTAATCACAACTGTAACACTTCATGTGGACTGATTCGGTAAGGTATATTCACGAGCTGAAAGTTTGAATTTGTTTTTGGTCTTTGGCTGCATAACCTCCAACTTCATATTAAACTTGCAGTGGTTGTTGCCCTGGTCCAAAACAGGAAGTAGGTAAGCATAACCCTAGTCAGTTTCTTCCTCTTTTTTGATACTAGTAACGTGTTTTGCTAGGAATTAAATAAGCCCCCCTCACTCATAAGTCCCCCCCTTCAAAAGTGCATAAAATAAATAAGCCCCAGGGGGGATTAATAGAGGATTTACCGTAATAATAACCATCCAGTACTAAGTGTAATAAAACTTTTTTAGAGCGATTGTAAATTGAGTGAGAGTGTTAGAGTGGTTTTCAATTGAGTGTCGAAAGTAATTAGACAATTACTTTGGTTTTGGTTTTGGTTTTACTATGGTTTGAGATTAGCTGAGCAGTCTAATTGGAAACTAATTGATTTGGTTTTGGTTTTATGACAATCGATTGAAAACCGCTCTGAAGGTAATCAGGCAATTACTTTGGTTTTGGTTTTGGTCTTACCACTGTTTGAGATTAGCTGAGTAGTCTAAATGGTAAGTAATTGGTTTGATTTTGGTTTTACACACTCAATAGCAAATCACCCTATTTTCGCTTAACTTATTCAAATTTATTAATTTCAACATCTTAACCCAACCATGTTTTACAACCTTTGACTAATTTTGATTCAGCAACAACATAACTTACATTTGGTATTTTTACGTTTGGTATTTTCCCAAGATTTCATGACCCTTCAATTTAATTAGCTAATTTAATTTTCATTTTATCATGATGAGTAATTTTGGAGATTTCCAACAAAACCTCTAGAATTTTATCTAAACTTCAATTACCTTCAATTACCATAAAACCACTTTAAGTTCGCATATTGTATTACATGTAAGTTGTCTAAAAAGCAGAGTTGACCTCAAGCTGGTGGTATGCACTCACCTTGGAATTTTAAATAACGCCCTCATGGGATGTTGATCAGACAGTGGCGTGACACCATCAGCAAGTTCAATGGCAGTGATTCCCAGTGACCAGATGTCGCAGCGGACATCATAGCTATAATCCAACTGTTGTTCACAAGCTATCACTTCAGGGGCCATCCAAAATGGGGTACCTACTGACGAGTTCCGCCTCATGAGAATGTTTGAAAGCTCTGCTGACACACCTAGAGGAACATGCAATTTAAGAGCAATCACTTAGAATCAGCATTCAGGATCCTTTTGTTTATAATTTTTTGTCAGGATGATGGCCTTCCTACACCAAATAGCCGATTTATTACTGTGTTGAAATTATAGTGGTTTGAAAAAGAGATATTCAAAATAATATGAATTGAAACAGTCTGAACAATAATATTATTGATGAATACTGACTCATGCATATTTTATTTATAAATAAACTAGACGATTACCATTCAGTTTGAACGATCAGCTTAAAGATTGAATGACAAATCAAATATAGTTAAATGAAATTTAACATGGTTAAGGACTAGGAGCTAGTCTGGTCAGTAGCATTTTCATAGGCGGTTGTTAGTGTCTTGGCGGACTGTGAGCGTTTGGTTAGCGTTTGGTGCATTCTGTAGCGTTTGATATAGTTCAATGAAATTTTACATAGNACTAGTGACTTGGGCGTTAATTGTGATTTACTGACTGACTGACTGACTGACTGACTGACTGACTGACTGACTGACTGACGAGTACTCTGACTGGTAGACTGACTGACTGACTGACGGACTGACTGGCTGGCTGGCTGACTGACTGATTGGCAGACTGACTTACTGACTGATTTGTTCAATGACTTGTCACTGAATGCAACCAACTGACCAACCAACCAACCAACTAGAGAATTCAATATATTAATGTGTGCTAATAACTATTATTTATTACTAACCAAAATCAATTAATCTGATTTCTGCACTGTTTGTTAACATAACGTTAGGGCCTTTGATGTCCCTGTGCATAACATTGTGTCGGTGGAGATGTTCAATTCCCTGAAAAAAAAAAAATCATGCAGAGATTGATTTAATATAGATAATTGTATTATCTGTTGTGATATTATTACAACAACTACTAGTAATATATAACTAGACACCGCTTCTTCAAATACAATTATTAAAATAATAATAAACAAAATATTGTTCATGAAGAATATAACAAAATTTGCAAAATGTTGTTTTTACCTTAAGTGTTTCATAAAGGATGTAGGCAATTAGATCTTCATCCAGATATTTCCCTTTCTTCCTTAAACTCTTCACAAGGTTTGTCACTGATCCACCACGGCAGAGCTAAAGTTGAAGAACGGCTATGTTAATATGCTGTATGTGCATTAAAACAATCTCCAAACTGCTGCAAGTCAATGGTGTAATAATTTGACAAGAGTCAAGTAATTAAGCAGAGCTTGCCAAGCATTTCTATTTGAGTTTGATTCAGATGTCCGAACATTTTTGTTACATGTTTCCCTAATGTGCCACGAGAAACATCCTTCAAATCATAAGTCTGACATGGTAAGAGGATGAAAACCCACAACGTATATTGTAAGGTGACACTACAGTGTGAGAAGAACAATAGCACACTTAAGTGAATGTTGTTCTATTAAGTGCATGCATGGCTATCCTGTTTTTTCAAACTTTTACAGTAAACCAGTACCGTTTATTACTTGTTGATTATCTAGTAACCACCATGTGGTAAAATATTAGGTACAAATACAGTTGTTGTTGTTGTAAATTAGGAAATAGCTCAAAGAAAATACACCTGCTGATTGGTTAAAAATTGCATTTCTATAACTCGACAGAAACACAGAAAAGTTGTCGTAGTCATGTCATTCATTATTTTCTTTCTGCTCATTTTCTAAAAAAGAGAGAAAGCAAAAAGTTTGGGAGAACTGGGAAGAGCTGAGGAAACACTCCCTTGATAAAAATCTCGCACTCATAATCCAATAATTTGTTGAATAGGAACACTCGTAACATTATTATTATCATTATCACTATCACTATCATTATCATTATCATTATCATTATCATTATCATTATCATTATCATTATCATTATTACTATTAGTATTACCAGTAGTATGGCCTGTTTTCCCACGGTATTTCTCATTCTCACAAACTTCCACTCACATTTCTATTCAACGATTAGATTATAAACCGGAGACTTTTATTGAGAGATAGTTGACAAGAGTGCAACCCACGTAAACTATCATGCACAGAAATCGAGAGTGAATAATCTAATTGTTATAGTATGATTCTACTAGTTTTAAAAAACTTTGTCTAAATCCTCCAAGAGGGTTCATACCCTTTTTCAGTAAAAGATTTCCGCAACTTTTCCAGAACTTCTCCTGGTCTCAGAATGATTTTTCCAGGACTCTAATGTTCACATTAACCCTTTCACTCCCAAGATCACAATGTTAATTCTCCTTACTGTCTGCCATACACATCATATTTTTTTACTTGAGTTAAACAGATTTCCAGAACTTTCCAGGACCATAGGCTTTTTTCAAGGACTTTACAGTCCTGGAAAATTCCACAATAAAAATCCAGGACTTTCCAGGTTTTCCAGGACCCGTACCAACCCTGTTCCTAACAGACACTTTGAATACGCAAAGAAGCAGCCATCATTGTTTTTAACAACTGCATACTACTAGGCTACTGACTGTCTAAAACTGAGTAGATAGTAAGTAGCATCGCCAATAAAAGACTGGCATTCGTGATAAGACAATAGTAGATTTGTACTAAAACCCGATAGAAACATGGAAAATGTTTCAAATATTTCTTAATTATTAACCACTAACCAGGGTTCTCATTAATTTAGGGAGTTGAGGGCTTGTTTCTTCAAGCAGACAGCTGACACTGATTTGAATCCTGAAGGGACAAGCCTCCAGGGAGGTCTGGGGTATACTCCCCCGAAAATTTTGAAACTGACAGGCTCCGAAATGCTATTTTACACATTCTCTTGAAGATACTTCCTAAACCAAAATCAGCTTTGGAAAAGATCAAAGTGCCAATTTTTAAACCTACACCACACCCTGACCCTATGCGCCTTCTCTAGCTACAGCCTTGATTGTCGTGAGACTAGCTAAGGAACAGTCAAGGTTCAGGACTTGCATTCCAAAAAAAAACGTGTTTACCCTAAATCATTCTTTACAACTTACACTGTATTATTTCATGAAAAGTAGGTTGCTCAGAATTCAAAGTAGTCAGTTTTTTTTAGCTGGCAGCCAGCACTCAAAAAGAACCTTGACTAATCACCACTCACCGACTAAATTGGATTTTCTTATCTGTTTACTTAGTAAATAGCATCATGGTCTCTGTTCTTAGATTGAGTTCAATTTTCCAACCTATTTGTAATTCTTTTATTTT